AATGTACTTTTTTCTTTGTAGAATCAAATGAAATATGGACACATAAAGCTACGCTTTTTCTGATATCCGTGTACAAACAAAACTCCTATATGCTAGGGAAATTTCCTCACAAAAAAATGTGGACCAAAATTTGCCAAAATATGAAGCAAAAAAATTATAATTTTACAGTCAATCAGTGCTATAATAAAATGCATACTTTAAAAAGACGATATCGTCAAATTGTTGACCATAATGCTCAAAGTGGAAATGATAGAAAAGAATGGATATATTTAGAGGTAATGAATAACAAAATTAGCATTTGGAATTATGTGAAAACGTTTTAATTTATTTTTAGTAAGATTATTAATTATATTATTAGTAAGATATTTTATAATTAGAAATAAAAATCTAAAGTAATTATAATTTTCTCTTAAAATAATATATATACTTTAGCATTGGAGGAGATATTCTGCAACAAACCTTGGATAAAGCCATTATCTGTAGCAGGCTCAAATATTCAAGAACCAGAAAAATCAGTATTTGATGATGATGAAAATGTGCCACCAACTAGTCAGTAACTGAAAATTATTAATATTACAACATAAACATTTTTTTATTGTGATTTAAATTTATCAATAACAATATTTTTCTAGAACAAAAGAAAATCTCATTAAATGAGGAAAGAGTTCATTATTTGCAAACATCTTTGGAAGAAAAACGATTAAAAAGAGAAGAGACCGCTAATTATAGAGCAGAAAAGTTAAAAATATTGAAAGAATTGAAAGCCATTTTAAAAAAGTAATGTATACATTTAACAAGTATACAATAAAGATACAAAGTTATTTATTAAATATAAGTTTCTGCAAAAAAGGCTGCATAAGAGACGAAAGTGCAAGAATTTCTGCAAAAAAGGCTGCATAAGAGACGAAAGTGCAAGAATTAACAGTATAGAAATATATATTAAGAAAATATTATAGTTTAACTTCCAGATGTGAATTAAATCTATTATAAATTAAATTTAACTAAAAATTATAAAGTACATATACAATTATAGCTTATAAAACTACTTGTTCAAATTGTGATACTACTTTCTAATTAAAGAATTGGAAAGAGCAAGGGCACTACGAGTCAGGCGCAGAAGATGTCGCGCAAATAATACACTTACGAAGCGTAAAACTTCTTTATTAACTAAACACGCTTACATGTTTCGGCTTATTTTTTAGCCTTCCTCACAGCAAACATAAATTAATCATTGGTTAAGTCGAAACATGTAAGCGCATTAACAGACAAAAGTATTTTTACATGAAAAATTTTTCTATTAAAATTAAATTTTTTAATTTAAACGGTTAACTTTAATTTTTGTGATAACACTAAAATTGAGCAAGGTAACGTAACTTTGTGGTAACGTTTTGTATATTATTTTGGAAGAGAATTAAATACCCACTACTTTAATTGCAAGAGAAAATGTCTTTGTGTGTGAATGAATTGTGATATAATAATTTCATTTAAGAGGAATTTAAACCATTTGGATTGGAATAAAAAGATCCTACAATAAGATATACGTACACTTAGGTTTCATTGTATAAAAATTAAAGATAATATTATTTGGATTAAGTAAATAAAGAAATGGGATTTGGCGCCAGTTCTTGATGTATCAAACCCTTTATAGGAATGATACATATCATTAAAGCCAATATTATCTATTTAATTTAGTATCCGAATTACATGGAATTTAACTTGGCGCCAATTGTTGGTATCAAATCTTTTTTACGATCGATACATAAAATTTTGAGAAATTTAACTGGCGCCAATTTTGTTGATATCAAATCTTTTATATGAATGATACATATCATTAGAGTTAAGTAATATATACAAAGGACCGGTTTCACCAACTCGATTAAGCCAAATCAACCATAAGTGTCAACCATAAGTGGTCAATTCCACTAAACGGCAAACGCGATTAGTCAGTTCCATGGCAAATTAGGTAATTGGCGTTGGTGAAACCGGCCCAAATAATTTTTACGAAAAGCACGCACACTTAGCGCTTTTTTAACCTTTTTTTAAAAAGGTAAGCTTGTTTAAATAACAAGATTACGATAACCCCAATCGCAGAAAATCATGGGGAGTTCCCGGCCATGCTTCCACGTCGACGACCAAACTGAATATTCACGGCTCCAAGGTCATGCTCTGTATTTGGTGGGACCAGCTCGGTGTAGTGTATTATGAGCTGTTAAAACCGACTGAAACAATTACAAGCGATCGGTATCGAACGCAATTGATGCGTTTGAGCCGAGCATTGAAAAACAAACGGCCGCAATACAACGAGAGACACGACAAAATGATTTTGCAGCATGACAATGCTCGACCCCATGTTGCGAAAGTGGTCAAGACATACTCGGAACGTACCCTTGGAAACGTTGAAATGGGAAGCCCTACCCCATCCGCCGTATTCTCCAGACGTTGCTCCCTTTGACTATCGCTTGTTTCGATCAATGGCACACGGCCTGGTTGACCAGCACTTCCAGTTTTATGAAGAAGTAAAAAATTGGATCGATTCGTGGATCGCCTCAAAAGATAACCAGTTTTTTACAATAAAGCCTCGAAAAAAACGGCGGAAGCAAAGTTGTACACCTAATACTACCATAAATTTAAGGATTAAAAATTCATTATTAAGTATTAAAAATTTTTCTTCATCTCATAGAAAAATATTTGTATGTGCACTAGTTAAAAATGAAATATATCAATACTATAACAATTTGAATATATATAAAATTTTTTTAATTTGCGAATAGTTTATAATTATAATAAAATATTTATTAAATTATTTGCATGAATCGAATTATAAACAAGACGGGCGCATCAAGTATGCTGCTGCTGGAGATCTTGTTCATTTTCGATTTTTTATTTCAACAATTTTCTACTTGTTATCGATGTAAAAATCCCTTTTCAGTTTCCACGCCTCTCATTACGCTATCTATTGCATTTCGTTCTCTCATTAATGTGTTGTTATACTTAATACACTTCAAATGTCATTTGAACTTTGGGTAGTATGTATATTATAATTGTGAGAAATTATTCCATACAACACTGTCTTAAAGGATATCGAAAAGACATCTACAGCATAAGAAAGCCTTCAAGATGCCGTTCGGAGAACTGTGTTCTGCGAGACTTTTCAAATAGAGATACTTGAATATATGTATATATATATACACATAATATTTAGTGATAGCGAAATGGTTTCGATGCAGTATGTATGCAGCGTAGCGATAAATAACAAGCTTTTTCTCGATCTTTTAATCAATATTCCCACGCCAAAAATGGACACAAAAAGCAGAAAGGCAAAATATTACCACAGTATATAGCAGCGCGACTCTCACGATTTCACTGTGGATGAAAATGGACTGCACATGCGCGAGCGAGGTATGTAACCAATCAGGATACTGATATTCCATCTCGCTTCTTCTCTTTATTGTCGCTGTCTGTCTACACCGTTTAAATGTCCATATAAAGGATTTAAATGGCCATTTAACGGAAAATGACAGGAGTAGTATATATTATATGAAAAATAATAAAGTGATACGTGAGAAATAATAAAGTGTTTGTCAGAATCGTGTTATCAAATCATAACTTTAAGGGTAAATTTTCACGAGCTGCTCAAACCGGCCGTTTCAGCGACAAAAAGAATCACATGGTCAAAATTGACGATTATCGAACGCCCATTTTGATCTTTTTCGTCGTTGAAGCGGCCGGTTTGAGCAGTTTGTGAAAATTTACCCTAAGACAGAGAATACTATATTACAGAAATTTGAATATCACGATTCCCTAACTTAAAAGCAATAATTTAAGAGCTTGAGGGAATAGGCGCTGTTCAGAATGCGATAGTTGTTCAAAACATTTCTCGATATAGAAGTTAAATTTATTGAAAAGACGACAGAATAAACAATAATCATTATTATATTTCTTTTATTTAACACCATATTGTGCCAAAACATCCTTGTCTCCCAACTGACTATCACTCTCGTCCATCTAGCGCCATCAATAAGTCGTCCGAATAATAGTCATCGATGTTGTAGGCATTACGATGTTCTTCTTTAAAGAGATAATTCTGGTCGGAGAGATAATAGTCGTTGCCTCCTTAGGTTGCGTTCACATAACGTCTTTATTTCTAGAAAAGCAACGGAATAGTCAATTCGATATCGACATATATGATATATTACATTACTTTCACGAACTTTCACGACAAAAAATCTGTCAGAGTAATCAGAAGAAGGAATCGTTTATCTTGCTTCCTACTCATCACACTGAACTTGACGTATTTGTGAAGAACGGGAAACTGTTGCATAAATCATAATTTTATGGTTTAGCGATACAATTAGTCTGTTGTGTTTAACTGCGCATTGTTTATTTTAGGAACTCTTGTACCAAAAATATTACTTATTGATTATATTGTATGACAAAGCAACAACAGAAACGCAAAAAAATTATATACAAATGATTCTTATCTATACCTTTATTCCTGAATTTTGATTGTGTCGGAGATTCTCTGCTCGAAGGCGACCATATTCTAACACTGGTTCCGTATTTCGCCGCAAGAATGGGAATATGCGGATGACCCACTACGTGACATATCTATAAATTAAATCTAAAATAAAGTTATGTTATGCAACATAAACTGCGAAAAAAAAATTCTTTATCAAATGTATGAAATAGAAAACCTCATAATCTCTTCTGGACATAAATTGATCGTACAGTGACAACCACTGTACAACGTCTTCTGTATTCTTGTCATAAATGAATATATCACCACAATTGGATCCAGACATAATATATTCACTATTAGGTCCGAAAAAATTAATTCCCAATACTGTAATCACAACACACAAACTGTATACGCTGTCAATAAGTTGAATTTATTTTATTCGCGCCATATAAGATTTTGTAATTCCGCTTCACGTGAATTTCCCTAGTCGCGGTATTACCAGATCGTCACGTGATCGCCCCGTGCGCCTTCGTTACCTCTCGTGAGCACTCGGGCTCGCTGCGCAGAATGCTGCGCACAGTAGTTAGTTCCGTTCCGTTCGTTACAAGACGACATGACATTTTTTTACTTCTAAGTTTAATTGTATCTTCTCATCCGTACGAGCATACTAACAAGTAACCCTACCCAAGTGTCATTCACCGATTTTTCTGAAACTTGGCATGGTATTAAAACATCGAAAAATATTTGACACGTATTTTTTTATATCGGCCCGTTTTGCATTTTAAGGGTAGAAAACACCCTTTTTCAATTAAGGGGGATGAAATTAATATCTCAGAAAATACTTATTAAATTTTCATGTAACTTGTTACTCGGAGGTTTTCGAGGTCGCTGATTACGAAAATGATGTCAGATTTTCAAAATTCAAAATGGCGGATCCAATATGGCGGACGAAACATTAAAAATCAATCGAATTTACTTGAAATTAGTTACTCAGGGGTTATCGGGGTCGCTGATTACGAAAATGATGTCAGATTTTCATAATTCAAAATGGCGGATCCAATATGGCGGATAAAAAAATTAAAAATCAATCAAATTGTATCCAGTAAAATAATTAAATTCGTGACTCAAAACACATAGCGATAAGCGAAGAAATGTTGGAAGAATCTCGTTTAAGGAGGGTCGATACCGTAATATCAGTTCATCGAAAAATATTTTTTATATTGCGTTTATGATATAAAATACTATCACTTTTAAGGGGATGCTAAACCGATTACCCAACTCAATCAAGGTCGATAGTACAGACTCTTTTAATTCCAAATTCGATAATAGTGGTGACATCTTTGATTTAGTTTTTACATTATATTATATAATATATATCATTCTGTCTTACTCAAACGCATACGTCTGTTCTTATCTAACATATGCCAGCACCATCTATCACAAGACCGCGCAACTACTGCTACGCGGAATTTCAGCTCTGTTGACAGTCCCAGTCTCCGCAAAGCATCTGTATACACGTATTTCCTATTCGGTGGGAATATATCTTTTCTAGACTTTCAATCTTAGTTCTACAAATTCGGTATCATTCGTTTCAATAATGTGATGTTTGCTGCCCGCTTATTTTTAAGATATGGACTCTAAAACTCTTATATCAAGCAAATATATATCCGAGGTGACAGCTGTGCGAGCCAAAAATAAGTAAATTTTATAATTTTTTTTCGATTTTCTCATAAAATCCAGTGTAGCAAACATCCTCTGTGTGCGTACTATAATTTAAGTAATAATACTTTTGCAATCCGTACATCCAATACGGAGAAATCCCACCGAATAGGAATGTGGTAAAACAGGGGGGCTTTAGCATCGCCTTAACGATAAAGGGGATGAAGGGGAAAAGGTATCTTCTTCCTGAAAAAAAATTTGAACTCGGCAAAATTCATTCTATTAATACTTGTTATTTACTACTGAAATTTTCTTCATAAAAAATATTTAAACATTTTTAATAATTAACGAATTTCAATGAATGTTTGCTTAATTTCATAAGAATTTGATTCTCTACAACTTCTCTGAATAAACTTCTCTAAATTTAGTTTGTAACTTTTAATTATTAAACATATCATGAAAAAAACAGTAATGTTTTTTAAACAAATCCCTATTCTTAACATTTGACATTAAAATTTGAAATTTTTTTCAGACAGGTTGTGAATAATCATTTTCTTAAGAATATAATCCCTCGTTCATAGAACTCCGGTAATTATTAAAAATTTTTTAATATTATTTATGAAGAAAATTTCAGTAGAAAATAACAGGAATTAATTAAACGAATGTTTCTGGTTTTACATTTTTTTTTAGGAAAAAGGGGCCTCTCTCCTTTCAGCAATATCGTTAAAAATGATATTTAAGTGCACAAACGCATTATAAAAAATATTTGTCGATGAACTGATTTTAGGGTATCAACCCTCCGTAATACGTTTCAAACAAATTGGATTGTTTTTTAATTTTTTCGTCTGCCATACTGGATTTGCTATTTTGAATTTTCAAACTCTGACATCATTTTCGTAATCAGCGACCCCGATAACCCCTGAGTAACTAATTTCAAGTAAATTC